CAATAAACAAGGAACATAAGTATATTATCACACTACATTTCTTTCGCCACACCATGCTGATCGGTGTTGAATAGTAGGTTAGCAACATAAATTATTGAACGTTTCAAGAAGTTTGTTCTGTGATGAGTCGGTTGACGTGGCAGCTGAATGAAAATGCACCAATAATCGGAGCAAGATGTTTTTTTATCGCATGATAGCAAGCTTTATTAGTTTCTCACGCAGAGGTATTATGCTAATAATGAAGCATAGCGCTTTGATAGCGACGGCCAAAGTGCCGTTGTTATTCAAAGGCTTGCTCCTTCGTGGTCAACGTTGTCAATAATGCTCTTGTAATAACAGTGTATACACAAAAGTTTTTCCACACGTCATTTTTGCAAACGAACATTACGCTGCTTTTTGTTATTTCCTTTAATCGGAACTGTTGGCCTTGCCGGCTTAACAAATTATTCTGGTCGGTTGGGCGGGCTTTTCATTCCGTAATCGATAGTGATGTGATCCTCCGTTAGTGGATTCATAGCCAGGCGCTGAAAATTTTACTCAAAAATACGTTTTGAACAGATCTTCAAAAAGCTTATTGAAACACAGCCTGTGTACATGATTCTAATAGACCATCACAGAAAAAGCACTTGATATTAGTCAATTATGCATCCATATTTATTTTACAATGTGTATACTATTTTAGCTGGTGTTCCTAGAGAATTTCCTTCTTCACAATGTTCGAATCATCGACAGCTTCATCAGATTCATTCCAAAAACTTTTAGGAGGTCACTAAGATACTAAAGAATAAGATATCTCACGTTGATGGAATCATGGAGTTTAACAGGACTTCCTCCTATCACAGAGAGCGAATCGAGAGCACCGGAGGGAGCGATCAAAGAGTCCTGAAAATGATTAATAATCATTTATTCTAAAATACTTTCATAAAGTTATAATATTGAAAAGTCGTTTACAAAAAACTTGACCTGCACTGCTTCCGAGAATAGGTTTAAGTGACGTGTTTTGCTAGTAGCTTTGGAGGAACTTATGTGGTCTTCCATTGTAGCGTTAGCGAGTAGCTTAGTATGGTGAGTACGAGTGAGTAGGCTAACGCAACGGGCTAAATGAAATTTTGAGACCGCTATTCACTTATATATGTTTCATCGATGTTTATCAGCAGTAATCTTACATGATTAATCATGATTGAAATGATTCAGTTTGAGATCGGTTGAAAACTCATACATTACGACGTAATTCACGTCAAATTGCGACGTCGCTATTTGACAAAAACGCGGAACCACGTGCTACCTATGTTCTATACGTGATTAAATCACACGAATTTGCTCGTTCATGCAATCAAAGCTCATAAATTGGGCTATAGAGGGCCAAAAACTATCTTTGCGTACTACTCACGTTATCGTTGCATAGGATTTCCAATTCGGTGGCAGTGCATTATACAACTGGCACATCTTTCAGGCTCAGAGAATACTTTTTCGAAGATTTTCGATGCTTCGACTAACTTGAAAAGAGTTTGACCAAAAATAGTTTTTTATGATAGCGACATCTTTCCACCTTGACACGTTTTCTCCGTGACCGTGTACACATCAAGGAGTTCATATAACCATTTCAGCATGGGTTGGAGAGTTCTGTGCTAGTAATGCTGATCATGTCGAACGGTAGTGACGAAGGTCGCTTGGATCACTTTTCTTGAATGGATCATTTTTGCAGACTCTCCTCCCTAAGTTTGGATTTTCTCTTCCTGAAGATACAATATCGTATGTTCTATACCGACTTACGTAAGGGAGAGTGGAGGACTGTGCGAAATCGGAATGGCATGATGGCTGTTAGATGGTATGACAAGAGAGAACTGCAGATACTTTCGACAGCATACGGCGCAGATGTGAATTCGGGCACGAAGAAGTTCAGAGTAGTTGAGAACTACGGTAAGAATAAGGAGTTTGTGGACCTCACGGACCACATGGCTGCCTACTCTCCATTACTTAGAAGGACTAAAAGAGGCACGTCTGCTTTGCTACTTCTTAGCTTCATAATCTCTATTTCCTTTCTTTATTTACGTGTGAATCCTCTTTCATTTCGTCTATAACATACTGCTGCTTAACGTTCATAGAACGTATTGGGCCAACAAAGAACGGATCAAATTCAATGAGTTTAAGGAGGCGGTTCATGGCAGTTACCTAGGAGACTATTCTCCTTCAATGACGACTAGCGGCGTTCTCGAAGAGGTTTAACGCGAAAACCGTCGCCAATGTGAGTGCTAGAAAGAGTTGCCGGCTGAAAAGTCTCCTTTTATGCTCAAAATCACGTTAAAAACACAAACACTAGATGTGTTAGATGTAAAACGCATTCCTAAGTGCTAAATCCCGCACATCTCCGTAACCCAACGATGTTACGTAGTTGTTGTTTGTAATCAAGAAACAGATAATCAATGAGTGTTCATTGTTTCTGTATTGCAATGATTGTATTATCGTATTCTATGAAATGTACTATTGTTTTTACTTACCTATGTTATATGTGAATATAACATGTTGTCATAAGTTGCAGATTGTTGGAAGCTATTGTTATAAACAGCAGATTGTTGAAAAATGGTGATGAACAAATTATATAGATTGATCGCTTGTGTTACGCTATTACTAAATGAGATGTGGTGTGATTTGGTGTGCGAAAGAATCGGGCACATTTGGAACAGACGTGATTTATGAGGGCAGGGCTAGGGTGTGGAGCCACACACGCCCCTGGGCCCGTGGAAGGCAATCGGTTGAGCAAGGTCTTAGAATGTGATCAAATATAAACACATGATATTATGTCTTCAGGAACAGAAAAAGCTGAACTAGATGAGGACGTTACCTACAAACAATCGATTCAAGAAAAAACTGAGCTACCTTCGTAACTACCGATCGACATGATCAGCAATACTAGCACAGAACTATCCAACCCATACTAAAATGGATATTGAATTTCTGATGTGCGCACCGTCATGGAGAAAACATGTCACAGTGGAAAGATGTCGCTGTCATATATAACTATTTTGGTCAAACTCTTTTCAAGTTAGCCGAAACATCGAAAACCTTCGAAAAAGTATTCTCTGAGTCTGAAAAACGTACCATTTGTATACTGCACTGCCACCGAATTGGAAGTCTTAAGCAACGATACCGTAAGTAGTACGCAAAGATAGTTTTTGGCCCTTTAAAGTATAATTAATAAGCTTCGATTGTATGCACGAACAAATTTGTGTGATTTAACCACGTATAGAACATGGGTAGCACGTGGCTCCGCGTTTTTGTCAAATAGCGAAGTCGCAATTTGACGTGAATTACGTCGTAATATACGAGCATTCAACCGTTCTCAGACTGAATCCTTTCAATCATGAATCATGTAAGATTACTGCTGATAAACATCGATGAAACATATATAAGTGAATAGCGGTTTCATAATTTCATTTACCCCATTGCATGAGCCTACTAACTTGTACTCACCATACTAAACTATTCATCATGTCTGCTAGCACAACAATGGGAGACCACATGAGTTCCTCCAAAGCTACTAGCAAAACACATCATTTGAACTTATTCTGGAAAGCAGTGCAGGCCGAGTCTTTGTAAAGAACTTTTTCAATACTATAACTATATAAAAGTCTTCTAGACTAAATGGTTATTGATCATTTTCAGGACTCTTTGGTCGCTCCCTCCGGTGCTCTCGATTCTCTCTTCATGATAGGAAGAAGTCCTGTTAAACTCGGTGATTCCATCAATGAAAACGTGAGATCTCTTATTCTTTAGTATCTTAGTGACCTCCAGAAGCTTTTGAAATGAATCTGATGCAGTTGTCATTGATTCGAACACTGTGAAGGAGGAAGTTCTTTAGGAACATTAGCTAAAACAGTATATACACCGTAATCAAGTGCTTTTTTTCTGATAATCAATTAGAATCATGTACGCAGGCTCTGTTTGTAAGCGTTCAAAACGTATTTTTGGGAAAAATTCTCAGCGCCTGGTTCGGAATCCTTTAACGGAGGATCACTTCAGTATCGATTCCGGAATGAAAAGCCCGCCCAACCGACCATAATAATTTGTTAAGCCGGCAAGGGCAACACTTTCGATTAAAGGGAATAAGAAAAAGCAGCGTAAGGTTCGTTCGCAATGACGACGTGTGCGAAAACTTTTGTGTATACACTGTTATTATAAAAGCATTATTGACGTCTGCCACGAAAGCGCAAGCCTTTGAATAACAGCAGCACTTTGGCCGTCACAATCAAAGCGCCATGCTTTATCATTAGCATATTACCTCTGCGTGCGAAGCTAATAAAGCTTGCTATCATGCGATGAAAAACATCTTCCTGTTTATTGGTGCATTTTCATTCAGCTGCCACGTCAACCGACTCATCACATGAAGCGACAGCTTGAAAAGTTCAATAATTCATGTTGCTTACCTACTATTCAACACCGATCAGCATGGTATGACGAAAGAAATGTAGTGTGATAATGTACTCTAGTTCCTTGTTTTAAATAAAGTATTTGATTATTTTGAAAGCTGAGTTTATTCAGTTTGATTAATATCGACCAGCTGAAGTTTTTCTTTGAAGTGGAGTATAATCTGATTTGACTGAAGTACATAATACGGATTCTTATTCTTTGCACTAGGTTATCGGAACTACGAGGTCTTTTACGTTGTCACAGACGTGATTGGTGGAGGAGAAGCGAATAGGGCGGAGTTAGGCACGTTTGTGGGTCCATGGAAGGCAACCGGTTCAATGTTTATAAAACGGTTACTTCTTGAAAAATCTGACCACGTCTAATAAATCAGACGCAAAACAATCTACCGCTAGCAGGGGTCGAACCAGCGGTTACCAGACTTATTGGACTACGCCCTAACAGACTGAGTCATGGCGGGTGTTGTTCGTACAACTCACGTGCCAATGTGCCAGCTATGAGAAGCTTCAAATATTTATAAAATAGTTACTTCTTGGAGGTCTGATTACGTTTATTAAATCGGTCGAAAAAGGACCTGTCGCCAGCATGTGTCAAACCTGAGACCTTGGGCTTATTAGACCCACGCTCTAACCGACTGGACTATGGCGGCCGCGTTGTTGCGGTGACGCCCATCCCTATGTCCGCTAACGTCAAGTTTTTAGAATTCTTCAACCGATTATCTGTCAAATGACATATAGTCGACTGTCGATTGCTTAGTTCACAGCTATCACGACAATCAATCACTCTGATGGAACGCCCGGTGAACATTTCACCGTATGATAGTGTAAATAGTTCGTCGTCGATTATATATACCCGAGGAACTGACAATGAAAGGGCGCCGAGCTACTGATGTGACTGAAAGACCAAAACGCGTGTCTAGCACTTTACAAGTGCTATGAAAGGCCTCATCTTATTGTGTGCCGCTCAGAATTTTTATACCCGCACAATCTTTTCGTTCTTTTATGCCTCCTGCACGATAACTATGATTCAGTATAGTAATTTGATTTGAAGTGATAGTCGATTGCGAGTTGGATTTCAGTTCGTTGAAGTCATTCAAGAAGCGGATTTTCATAATATTTTTGGGTGCAAATAGAGCTTTTCTTTAACCAAGCCCAACACGGCATCTTTTTTTCTCAAGCTGTGTGATGAATACAGAAAGTCGAGCAATAGCTCTTTGCGATGAAATATACCATAGCAGATTATGTTCATTGAATTAATTATGTGCAGTCTATGGCGTGTGTCAATGTATATGTGGATCAACAGGCATGATCGCTAAAGGCTGAGCACATTCCGCTCGTCAGGTTTTTTCGCTGGATTAGATTGCGATATTTATACTTCCCAACTCTGCATTTTTTTCCGTGAGTACCCAGAAAAAGGCAGGCTTTTTGTGACAGACTATCTAATGTCCGGTTCGTAGAGAAGAAAGACTAAAATTGGGAACAAGAAACATCATGCTAGAAGAAGAAGTAGTGATTGGCCCTGTTAAGGGATTGTTAAATCAGGTATGGACACTGTAACGTTCCTACCGCGTGCAATGTGTTAATCATCATCCCAGTGGGAAGTTCATTATTCAGGGTGAGTCTTTTGGTGACACACCTGTCTGAGAAGCTTTCTTTGGTCCATAAAAGGTGATGTCTGGCTGAATAGAGATTTTAAAATGATCTGGGATGACTATCCCAGGAATCTAGGGTGATTTAGAAAACATTCTACAGCGTTGTCAGAGAAAATCAAGGCACATCGATAGCTATAGACAACCATGCGGGCATTCATTTATGATGGATAAAAGGAAACAAGTTTAGTCAAAGAAATTGTGGATTCCACGTAGCTTATGATATCGGCTTATGTAAAAAATTCTCAATAACTTCAAATTGAAAAGAGAAGCTTAATTATCCGTGGACAGAAGATCTCGCCAGAAAAGTGTGGCTTTATCACACACTCATTCATTGGTTATCACATAGCTTTACACAGTGCTCTGTCATATCAGTTAGCAATTCGCCTTCTCAGACATGGTCGTTATCAGATCATCTGCAGAATAACAAAAGTGTCCTCATATCTGCCGTTGACGCTTTGAACGGCAACGGCGAGGAACGCAGCTGTGATGAATAAATAAATAATGATTTGCTAATAGAGTATAGCAGGGATACCGCTGGTATTTGCTAGTATTTTGATTATATGATCTCTAAAACTCACTTTCCGGCAAGGAATGATTGCACTGATACGCGTAGAAACTCCGAAATTGCACGAGTCGCATGAAATTCGACGACTTTCTACATTCACACCTTTGGTGATTATTCAAAAGCTCCACACAAACAATCTTCTCTATTGGATTCGATCATGATATTCATCGCTCAGATATTGAGCTTGATTAGAAGTTATCAACGAAATCTTATCACGATCCAAGAGAGGGGTGAGTGCACTGTGTAAAAAATTCCAGGAGATGACCTTCCATTGACCTCAACGCCGGCCAATAAATTTGTACTTTCCTAATAAGTTGTCACACTGTTGAGAATACGGTATGTTTTTTGCAAAATGGATATTGTTTCGGCGAAAATCGTCTCCTTCAAGGAATGGAAAATGCAATATTGACACCATAATACTTTTATGACCCTAACCGGAATTCTGAAAATCTGATATTCCACTTGCAATTGAACAAATTCTTTAAGACATTTGGAGCTTTTCCTGCATGCCTTCCTCTTAATGAAAGAGTGTAGCAACAGAGTTTAAATGAGTGAGGGATGTGCCTGCTCAAGTAAATTTGCTTGACGTATGAGCGAAGCCACCCACAACTACAAGGTATTTCCTTTAACAGCTATTCTTCGATTTTTGGAACTTATTCAAAACCCTGCAAAAGTTTTGCGTGCTGGTGTTTTAGGCTCCCGTACGAGGATAGCGACTTTAATATTTAAATTTTCTAAATGGGCAACTAACTTAATATCAACAAATTGAGCACATTTAGATGTACATTATCACTTTTGTAGGTTTCCGGAATTTAGTAAGTTTTATATATTTACTAGGAGTCGCATGCACAAACTTGTTGTATAGATGAAACACGAGTTCAGCTCCTGCCTGGGCTTGAGTGCTTCACTTTATAACACCATAACATTGCTTTTTAGCAATGAAAATAAAGAATTCAGATCCATCAGAAAGTTTAGTTTTGTTTTGGCTCATAATTATTGTTCACTACTTCTAAAAAATCCAAACTTTTTTTGTTCCACAATTCCTGTGGGACCACATACTTCTGCGTGGCACAGTAGTGATTTACGACAACAAATAGGTCTTCATGGAAAATTTTATACATTTTCAAATTTGTGAATTGCAAAGAAGTACATTGTTTATCCATTACACCATCTTCGTCAGTGGAAAGTACGTCGTAGCCTGAAGTGTCCATCAAACCGTCTATTTTACTGTTCAAATATGTGTTACAAAAAACTGTTTCATAATGATTTTGAAATGGACACATGCTGTTACGATAAAATGTGTTAGAATTTTTTCGATGTATTTTCATCGTTATTTTATCATTTGAAGTAAAACATCATGAATATAATCATTTTCCATTGCATGAGGATGTCTTTATTAAGCACGCTGTTCTTTTGAATCATGTTTGAGATGGACTTTTCATCCTAGGAGAGTTGTAAAACGCTCACGGCAAGGAGCTTCCATTCGATACTCTACGTTTAGAAATTAGACGTAATTTCAGAAAGTTGTACTCAGCTGGGGGATTTTATAAAATAAACTCCCTCTGCTGTACAAAAGAGAAGTTGGTATCGTTCGCGAATAGGCTATGACTTGCTCCGTGCTTTGCACTTTCATCATGATTCACTGTAATCTTGTGGAGAAACCTCCATATAAGTCGTGCGCCATCCACGGCTTAGTACGCGCTGTCTGTGTGCTCATAGATGCCAAGTACGGTGTATCGTCTGTTGCTCGTATTCATCTACCTAGTTGGTTTGTCTCATCAAGAAACCAGATCATGCTACACTGTGAGTAAAAATCATGCTAATGAGAAGATGCGCTTAGTAAAAAATCGGGAACAATCCATAATTTTCTAATGATTTCCTGTTACCCACTATTGTTTAGAGCTTCGATTCTAGATAACTCCGAGGTTTACGACAGACAACTCGGATTACTGTGTTAATTGCTCTACTAGTGAATATAGTTACTGACGCTTGATCAAATCCCAGATTTAGAGGACTAATTTTGGAAGTGTAGCTTGGGCTGAGAATCGTATTTTAGCCATAAATAATATTTTTGGATTTTCAGGGTATTCATTATTTCTAAGCAAACGATACTTGCACATTTTTCAGTGTGCTTCTGAAACTCTCTCTTCCCGATGGCAGATTACAGGATTACCGCGCGTCCAGGATAACTACTTCACGGATTGCTCAGCACAAAGTGTAGGAAAATTGCAGACGGAGAGCTGTACTGGAAGCTGCTTCACGTTTATGTTCGACGATCCCGATATATTTCCGAGTGAGTGATTCGACCATAAAACGTTGCAAAATCTCATCATTTTTACACATATTCACTTGACATATCTTCATGAACAACATAGTGCGATACCTCTAAAAATTTCCGTTTCATAGCTGATTTGCTAGTAGGCTTCTAGAAACTTAAAGCCTTCTCAATTTGTCACACAGGTGATTGCCAGCCCATTGTTGGAGATGCGTTGCTTTGTGTTCAATTCGCTATTAGGTTTGCTAATATTTACGGCATGAGGTTATCTTCAGCTTTGTGTGTAAAGGAAGCTAAACTCACCCTCACTTCGGGTGATCCTACTGAAAGGTCACAGCTCTGCAATGTGCCTCAAAATAAAAACGTTCTTCCAGTCACGACAAAGTGGTCAACCAGTGCAGGATGGCCGTTGCTTTTTGTAAAGCCCAAGTTTCCAACGTGACCACACCTACTGGTACATTTATGGCACCTGATTAATAATATAACATCCGTGGGCCGATGAAGAAGTTGTTTTTGAGAGGCTATCCAATTTCATCTATAAAGAAGCGTCTAACCGTGAAATACGTGCACAGAAGCGTTTGACCAAGACTATCATGCTAAGAGCAAGGCAGTAGCTCTACATTAAAATGAGTGAGATCAAGTATTCCATGGTAAAAATCGACCACAAAAGGCGTCGTCAAATTGGGAAAACAATTGCTTTCGCTTCAACTATTTTTTACTTACTTCAGCTCAAGCCGGTTCAACTGTGGTATTGGTGGTACGAGGATGTCACACAACCATCACATCGGTAATTTCCATTTTTCAAAGCCGTTTTCAATCACTGTTCCTATCGATTTCTTTCGAAGAGACGAGATTGAATATCGATTTTAGGTACTTGTAAATGACTCAGTGAACCATGATATGATAGCGGATTTTAGCTAGGTATCATCACCAGCGGCAGTCACAGTTGAAACAGTGTCACTAATTTCTCTATTTTACTGACGTTTTGAGGTTGTCGCTAACCGCAGTGATCCTCATGGCGATAACACGTATTGCGAGTACGACTTCAGCCACCCCATGGCGAATAGTAAAGGCGAGCAAGTTACGGTACGGGCGCTCACCGAATTCTGCAGGTTTGCCTCAGTTTATGTTGGCTAATGATATTGATATTGACCATCT